TGTCCACATGACACAACTCTGAAAAGCAATGAGGAATTTTGTCCAGGCTTTAAGCACAGTATAGTCTGAATCCAGTTTCTTATAATTATCAGTTGGTGGAACATTCAGTGATTCATATGACCCTTCAGGCTTTGGACATACTTGCATAATAATTAGATACTATCTTGCTCACATTATGGCACTGATATACAAGTATAATGCAAACTCCAAGCGATGTATTTATAAATCCTTGGTTACTTTTTATGCATTGATGTCTCACAAGTTGTCATTGTTATTTGTGGATCACAAAAATGCATCCACTGGAGTGATTGGGATGATTATTAGCTGGATTGAGAGAAGAGGGTAGCTCGTGTTGAGCTAGTGTGTAGAGAACAGTGTGAAGTGTGAACTACATCATGCGTGTCTTTATCTGCACCCTGACTCATTTGTCTTCTCAGCCTTGGTTACCTGCACCTGAATAAAGAATCCAAGAGTAGTACATCAATAATGATGTGCATTGTTGTGAAATACAATGCCATACTGATCTTACCTAAAAGATATTTGTTATTTTAAAAAAAAGTAGAAGTAATGTAATCATGAAGAACAACATTTGAGTATCAATCAGGACTTTCTGCCTTTGTTCTTCCACTTTCAGATACACTCTGATTTTACTATGTGTAAAGCATTTGGCAGAGAACCATCTGAAAATGTACAGAAGGTTTCCAATGCCAGTAGTGGGAAGCATTAACCTCTCCCAACCTGTCTTCAATCTCCAAGATACATCTTCATTCAAAAGGTATTACTTAAAATTATGTTTGACCTGCAGGATTCCATCATAATCAGATTGTAAACCGCTCTGTTCATATCCAAGCTTTACCTTGAGGGTCTCCAACTTCAACAATGCTATTTGATACACACAGTGAAAAAAGAACATTATGATAATTAATGACTCTCGGGTGTGCTGAGAGGCAGAGACCTATACATTCATAGTGATTGTAACCACACCGTGTATTAAATGTCCCAGTTTACTTCATGGCTGTTTTGGGGACGTTGTATGCAAATTGACTTCCACATTTGCCTACAAATATACAATCAGTACACTTCATAGTAAAATCCTGTGAAACTCTTTGAGATGTCTCAATGACGTGATGAGGCATATTACATTAGGATTACATTACTTTTTTTTTAAATTGAGCCACCATCCTACTAACCGACAATCCATTCCTCTGATCCACAAGCCTAAAGTCCATTGCACTGCACACTTGGCGCCTAGGCAAAGCATTGTAAAGGGTGCATGTGTGGTGAGGGAGGGTTAGGGCAAAAAGTGGGGGGAGGGGGGGAAAAGGGGGTTAAGGGAGGGAAAGAGGTGGTGGAGGGTGAGGATGTCTGTCTCCAGGGCACTGGGGCCAGTGAATCAGTGTATTAATTATCATAAGGTTGCTTTTTCCAATATATGGACTAATTAGCACGACAGCTGTTGATTAACAGTTCGAACGGCATAATCTTTGTAGCACTAAATTTGATGCACAATTAACCTTCCTATCCAATCACAGCTAAAGACCATTTCTTCAAACAGGCCTCAATGATATTGGAATATTTAAATCAGTGATAATAATCCTTGCATTTTTATATAGCGCCTTATCACGACTTTGAGACGTCTCAAAACACTTCACAGAATATACTATAAAGTGAATTGACTGTATATTTTGTGAGTAAAACGTGGCAGAGAATTGCACACAGCAGTAATGACAACAGGTCTTTGTGCTGCTATAAAATAAATAATCTGTAAACACATTTGGAATTGTTTTCTTCCTTGCCCCCACCCACCTTCGCAGTGAATTTGCGATTATGTCCTGCAGGTCTATACGCCATCAACACATCACAGGAAAACACTAATAATTCAGTCATATGTTTCTACATTTCATCTTCACTACACAGGCAGCACTAATAATTGTCGCATGTGTTTACACACCACCATCATGACACAGGCAAACCCTGGTATATGGAGCAGCCTTTACCGAACCTGCTAATAACTATGGTGGAAACTGAAAAAAAAATTCAGGAACAAAGTCATCTGAGATTGAGGTTAGTACCCAGCCTCTGTTACAAGAGTCCAATCTGGTACAGACCAGTACACCTTTTCATGCATGCGGGGAAATAAACCTGAGTTGTTTAAACAATAAAACTAGGAGCAACATAGTGAGCAACACTGGAGAGTAGGTGATTCTATTTGAACATCATTCTTTGTGCAACAGGAAGCATAGCCCTAAAGCTAGCATTAGTAATACAGTACAAGCATTGCCACACAGACCATGAAAGCTGCAGGTTTATCCCTGTGGCCTTGGGCTGGTGTGCTGGTGAGAACACAACTCATCTTAGTGGCCCTATAAATGGAAATCAGTAGTCCTGCAACTGCAAGCTATTTAACGACTGCTGGAAATGTACCTCTATGGACAACATTGGGTTCACCTGTATCAACGCTATGGTTGAATGGCATACTGACATTCAATGCCCATTGGCATAGCTGATGGCGGGTTAACACACCATTGGGCTGTAACCCCACCACTTCAGGAGAAGAGGGGGTAAAGGAGGAAAATCAGAGGGGAGATCTAAATCTTGCTCAGTGGCATTGCAGAGCTGCTGGAAGGATTCTGCCAGTTTAAACAACAGCTGGATGGAATATTTATACTTCAGGACATCAATCATTAATACTAAACTCAATGCCCAAAGCAATGAAAGCAGACTGTTGTATTAAAGAACCAACTATAGTCTGAGGGCTTGTGTGCTGCTTAAATCAGTTTGAATCTCTGCAACATCTATGCAACTGTTAAGCCGGTATGAACACCTGGAATGCGTTCCACTTGGGCATTGCTTCACAGACTACTGCTGGAAGCTCTAGTTATTAAAACACTGAAATTAGTATGTGTGTATCTGTGTGAACATCTATGTATGTGTGTGCGAGTGTGCCTGTATGTGTACATATGAGGGTATGCCTGTGTGTGCGCACATCAGTGCCTGTCTTTGTGTGTGTGTGTTTGTTTGCTCCAATAATAAGATCCCAAGAACACAGTTGGTTATAACATTTGAAGACAGTAAATTAATGATAGCATCAAATATTTCAGCAGAAACAATGTCCAGAAAACTATCGAATTCTCCCTGTCACAGGCTAGGCCAAATCTTTGGACACTCATTATCTGTCTAATTAAAATAATTTGTCAGAACTGTACTGAAAACATACATTATTCATCCACTTAGCCTATGCACAATTAATGGCTCTCTTTATCAATAGTTAAACTCATAAACCCACAACTGTTGTGGTTTTAAGGACTGCAACTTTAAAGCTAACAAGCTGTACCCTGGCACAAGGAATGCCAAAATTCCCAATGACACTGGGCTCCCACTCTGTGAGAAATTATTAAACATTAAGTTTCTGATTTGCGATATTCACAAATGTTTTTTTACAAACAACAGAATCCTGCAGTTACCAAGATGTGTCTCCCTGGAATACACTCAGACCGATCTCAGGTTTAGATCAAAGGAGGCGTCTGACCAGAGATCAAGATCTGATACTCACAAATTGTTTTTGAATAATGCAAATTATCGAGCGCTGTCTCAGCTCCCAAATGAAGGACTGGTAAGTGAGGTAGTGAAGGGCTGGCTGCTGGAGCCTATGTAACTGTATCCCCAGCATGAGCCTCCCAGTATGAACCTTCTAGTACCAGCTTCCCAGCATAATTCATCTCTGTTCCAGAGAGAAAATTTAGGAGAGATTATTTCTTTAGGAAAGAAACAAAATCCTTTGCAAGCATTTAAATAATGTTCTTGTGTCAGCTTGACTCCTCACTAGCATGGTTACACAAATCATTTCTATTCAACTGCATGGAACATGTTTTTAATAATATACTTAAGTAATGTACAGATTTATATTGACGTCAGCCTGGATCAGCTTGTGGAACTCTCACATCTGAGTCAGAAGATTGTGGGTTGAAGCCCCACTAGGTTAGGACATTCACAGTCTGATGCTTCAATGCAGTGCTGTATGTGTCCTACATTGTCAGCAGTGCCATCCTCCAGATGAGACATTAATCCAAAACCCTGTTAACCCATTCAGGTGGACGTTAAAAAACAATGGCACTATTCGAAAAGCACGGATTAATGATATTATTATAGTAAGTCCCCCAACAGTCTAAGGAGGCACATGTATGGTTGCTTAACTTTAATTCCCTGAATTGGGGATTGTTTTGGCCTTCAAAATACACTCTAATTCTTAAGAACAAACTCTGTCCACACTAACTAGCATAAACAACATTATGAAACGCTGCAAACGTTAGCCCAATGCTATCACAATGTGTGGAACATTTGCTCACCTCTGTTCGCTACACATAAAGAAAATATCAAAACCTGTAAGTTAAAAAGCAGTTCCATTAATTAATAAGCAAAACACCTCACCATATTACATAATTGTCAGGAAGTACTGAACATTGTATTTCATAGAACCATAGAAATTGACGGCACAGAAGAAGGTCATTCGTCCCATCGTGTCTGTGCCGGCTCCGTCAAGAGCAACAACAACAACAAGATTATATTTGTATAGCGCCTTTCACATCGGGAGGACGTCCCAAGGCACTGAAAGCAATCCTTTCAGTCCCATTTACCTGCCCTTTCTCCATACCCTTGTAGCTGACTTTTTCAGATCAAGTCAACAGTGTTCTCAAAATCTGGATATCTGATATGATCCGAACATGAGCATGTCCATTGTTTGGAAAATTCATTGGTCCCTGACAAATATATTAAAGTAACTGGCATCAAGACATTGCTGCCTCAAGCAATGATATCTAGGTCCACAAATGAATGTCAGAGTAAGGCCAGAACCAAGACATTTATCAAACAACACCTGCACTCCACACCTATCCCAGGCTGATTTTTGCCACGTTATGACAGAACACTATCAAAAACAAGAAAATAACTTTCTTTATTAAAAAAAAGAATTGCAATACAGGACATGAACAAGACAATCTTACCGAATACGTCTTTCCTCGAGTGCCTTCAGCTCAGCATCTCTTTTAAGAACCTGCTGAATTGCCCGCTGTTCCTCCAGGGACAGAAAGCTCAGGTCCATCATTTTGAGCGGATCCACTTCAGTCTTCATTTTGCAACAGCACCACTACTCTGGGGAATACTTAAGCGAGGTTGAGCCAGAGAAGAGTCACAATAAGAGTCATAGGACTTTCAACTTTCTTTGAACAATTCAAAAAGACTGTCTTCAGCTCAGAACGCCTGGCTTTTTGTTCCTCGGTTAAATTTTGTTTCGTAATGCAGAGGATTATAATCAGCAGCTCCTGTTCTTCTATGTTATCTCATTAAGGAGGTTGTGTAAAATTCTCAGCGTTGGATGACTGTTTCAATTTAGGCTCCTTCAGTAAAGTTTTATGATCCCATGCCAAGATACAGCAAGAGCTGCAGACTCTGTGAAGGGACAAACAAAATGCAATAAGCTTTTAAGTTACTTTCTCAGTAATCCATTCTTTGCATGCAAATACGGTTATCAGAAGAATGTGACTCTGCACATTCAGAGCTGCCAGACAGGTTTTGAATGGCTTAGGGTTGATGATCTTGGTTTTGTTCTTTCAAAAGTATTGTTGACACCGAAACAAGAGAACCACCAAAACTAGTGGTACAGGTAGGGCTGGTGGAATTCATTATGGCTCAGAAAGCAGATTAAACCGAGGTCCGTCTACCTATTCAGTTAGATGTTAAAGTCCCAATGGTACTATAACAAAAGGGAGTTTCTCCCTGTGTCCTGGCCAACTTTACGACTGTTTGTGGGACATTGCTGTGTACAATTTAACCATTATATTTTGCCTAGAAACAAGCAAACAACAACAACAACAAAATTACATTTGTAAAGCGCCTTTCACATCGGGAGGACGTCCCAAAGCACTGAACAGTCAGGTGCCAGGGCCTGAGCATGGGGGAGAGGTGGGGTAGGGGTGAGGGAAGGCAGAGAAGTGGGAGGGCGACCAAAGGCACGATCGAAGAGAAGGGTCTTGAGACCGGCCTTGTAGGAGGCAAGGAAGGAAACGAGGTGAAGTGACTGTCACTAAACGTTACAGTAAATCCTGTGAAGTGCTGTGAGATGTCTCAACAAATGATGAGGCAATATATCAACTGAAATAATTATTATTATAAAATGTTGAATATAGAGGACATATAGAGGATTATTATCAGTAAATTTTCAAATGGTTAGGATGTTGGCTTATAATGGAAAACAAGCAGACCCTGCTACTTACCAACAAAGAAGGGTGGGAATACAGTGTCACAGTGCCATCTCTTATTGAGGAAATAGCAAAGTTACTGGTTAGTAAAGTAAACTATCCGATAAAATGCCAATTAATTATAAATTGAGATATGGGGGCAAAATTTGCAGTATTCTTTAATGTGTTCTGTTCTTTAATTTTTGCCAGTGATAAATACTGTGTTTCACAAAATACACAGTCTGAAGTATATCCTGTGAAGGGCTTTGAGACGTCTCAACAAAGTGATAAAAAGCTAAATCAAATGCAAGGATTATGATTATTATTATTACTACTAAATACGGTGAGTCAATAAACTCTTCATTAAAGCCTTAACGTTATACTGGCAGTAATTGAGGAATGGAACATGTCCAGGAATAAAGCAAATTTAGCCCCATGGTTTCTGCCATCTATGGCCTTATAGTATTGGCTAACTTTTAGTTTGACAGCGGTATTTGACGACCCAGCTTTCAGTCTCTTTGCCCGTTATCTAGATCTCTCTTCCCAGATCTCTCCACCTTGCATGCTAACATTTTGCTTTCAAACCCTTCTATAAACCTACCCCTTGGACTGCAGCTTTAATCATCTTCCTCCTACCCCCTACCCCTATCTTCCACCCTGCTCGGGCCCGTATTCCATCTATGTAAATAATTTTGAGATGTTAGAAACTCCGCTCCCCGATCACCCGAGTCCTTGCCAGACTGCACTGGCTGCCTAGCCCAGAGAGGATCGACTTCAAGATCCTCACCCTCGTATTCAAGTCCCTACACTCCTCTGCAACCCCCTACCTCTCCGACCTCCTCTCTCCTCAAAACAGCACCCGTTGCCTTCGTTCCTCCCGGTCTGGCCTCCTCCTTGTCCCCCGAGTCCTCCGCACAACCCTCGGCAGACGTGCCTTCAGCCACTATGCCCCAAGGCTCTGGAACTGCCTTCCTCACTCCCTTTGTCTCGCCCACTCCCTTCCCATTTTCAGGTCTCTGCTGAAGACCTTTCTTTTCGACCGCGCCTTTTGTCACCTTCCCCCCCTCCCCCTGGCTCGGTCCCAGGATCGGAAACTGTAAAGCTCTCAGAGACGCCGTCCGGCGCGGAGGGGGCTATATAAATCCAAGTTGTTGTTGTTGTTGTTGTTATCCTACAGGTTAAATTGTTAACGTTTTCACCATCTTCCAATCAAGAACAAACAAAATGGATTGAACAAATTTGTAGCCGAAAAGATTGATTTTGCATTCTTTTAAATAACCATATCATATAATAGTTACAGTTTCACCTAAATTTGTGGGACACACAAGTGAAAACTGGACATAAAAGACTGGCCTGTTTAATTAAACACACAGCCTTAAAATAGTTTGTAGTTTAATCATCAATTTATTGTCTCCTTTGCTTGTCATGCCGCAAATTCGCACTTGAAAAGCAGCACCCTCTTTCCCTTTAATTACTGCCTTTCTGGTTTTAATAAAGGGCGTTTCAGACTGTGCTGCATTTTTTCTGTGACACCATAATATTTCATGCATGTTCCTACCCACTTGTTCTCATGCATCTACTGGAATACTGGCATCAATTGATTCATAAATGTTGCAGAACTGGTTTGGATTCAATTAATTTGACCTTTATATAAAGACACACATTTCACAACTGACTATTTAAATATAGGAGTGCATAATATTAATCAAAATCTGAGGCATTTCCTCTTGGGCAGCTCATTTTTGCCTGTTTACAAGCAAAACACCTTGCATACTATTTTATGATTCACCAGTGAGCTTACAATTGCACTTATTACACAGTTTAACATAAAAACCTATCACCTGTGGCATCATGTAAGCACTGACAAATATAGATTTAGTGGTTTAACCTATAATGGAAAATTGCAAAGACACAGTAAAAAAAATGCTATTTTTAGTAATAATAGGAGGATGGATGCCTTCAGGGAATCTGAACTATGAAATAGATAGCTCAAGCAAAATACAAAGGGTCATCAGTCAGTGTGCCACATCTGCAGGCAATGTCAAGCACTTTTGTCTAATACTTCACGTTTATTACAGTTCTATTTGATTTGCCATGTGTCGACTCAGCTGTACAACCAGTCTAAATCACTTTGCAAATCATATGCATTCACCCACAAAACATACCGTCAATCCATTTTACAGTAACAGTATATCCTGTCTGCTACTATCTTCTTCACTGTTTACTACATTTCCTAGCTTAGTATCATCTGCAAACTTGGAAATTGTATTCCCTATACCCAAGTCCAGGTCACTTATATAGATCAAAAACAGCAATGGTCCCAATACCAACCCCTGGGGGACCCCACTGCACCACTTCCCTCCAGTAAGAATAACAACCATTCTCTGGTTTCTGTCTCCCAGCCAGTTCTGTGTCCGTGCTGCCACTGTCCTTTAATAGCATGGGCTTCATTTTGCTTAACAAGTTTGGCACTTTATCAAACACCTTTTGAAAATCCATATAAACTACATCAACTGCACTACCTTCATCCCACCCCTCTGTTACTTCATCGACAAACTCTATCAGGTTTTGTTAGACATGATTTGCCTTTAACAAATCCGTGTTGGCTGTCCTTTATTAACCCATTTTTTTTAAGTGAAAGTATATTTTGTCCTGGATTATAGTTTCTGGGCGTTTCCCCACTACCGACTTTAGGCTGACTGGCCTGCAGTTCGCAGGTTTATCCTTCTGCCCCTTTTTGTACAGGGAAGTAATATTTGCAACCCTCTGGTTCTCTGACACCACTCAGGTGTCCAAGGAGGATTGAAGGATTGTGGCCAGAGCCTCCATTATTTCCACTCTTACTTCCCTCAGTAACCTAGGATGCATCCCGACCGGACCGCTTGGCTTATCTATCTTGAGCACCGACAATCTTTTCAGTACCTCCTCGGTTTATTCTTATCTTATCCAATTTCTAGGGATCCATTTTATGTTACCCACTAATCTTTTCTCATACAATCTCTTTGCCCCTCCTATCTCCTTTTTCCGTTCTTCTCTGTACTTTCTATATTCTATTTGATTATCGTCTGTATTTTGGAGCTGACATTTATCATAAGCCTCCATTTTTTGTTTTATTTTAATCCCAATTTCCTTATTCATCCAGGGAGGTTTGGATGCCCAACCTTTCCCTTTTATTGGAATGTATTTGTTCTGTGCCCAAACTATCTCCTCCTTGAAGGCTTCCGATTGCTGGTTAGCTGCTTTGCCTGCCAATCTTTCTTTCCAGTCCACCTGGGGTAGGTCACATTTTAACTCACTGAAATTAGTCCTCTTCCAGTTAAGTATCTTCAACTTTGATTGTTCCTTGTCCCTTTCCATAAGTACGCTGAACCTAATGATGTTGTAATCACTGTTGTCCAGATGCTCTCCTACTGAAACCTGCTTCACTTGCCCCACTTCATCCCCCAGAACTAGATCTAGCACTGCTTTCTTCCTCGTTGGGCTAGAAACATACCGATCCAGAGAGTTATCCTGCACACATTTCAGGAATCCTTCCCCTTCCTTGCTCTTTACATTGTTATTTTGCCAGTCTATGTTAGGATAATTGAAGTTATCACTTATTTCAGAAAGATGCAAAACCAATTATCACTACTCTATTGGTTTTGCATCTTTCTGAAATCTGCTTCCAGATTTGCTTGTCTATCTACTTCCCACTATTTGGTGGTCTAAGACATGGGTATAATTATATTGGTCCCATATTTGTTATTCCCCACAATGTTTCAGTCGCCACTTCATAGGTTCAGTTTGGTGGATATTTAGTGTAAAAAGGATCCCAACACTGCAAGCCAAAGCCATATTCAGTTTGACATATCCAGATGGATAGGACTGTGTTGCACAGTACTATTATGTTATATGTGGAGTTAAATTGATTGAAATCACTCATTATTAGAACATTAATGTCTTTCTTATCACATCATTGTAGAACATTTAATATTGGGAGGCAGACAGTCAAAAAATTTATAAAGATTACAAATTTTCTTCTCCACGATATTATGCTCCCCTTCTGGTTCCCTTCAAATACAAGTACAATTCAAGTACCCTGTACTTTTGTGTTTTTTTTTAAATTGTTCTAAGGTTTTGCCAGAAGGTCTAGATTTCATTCTGTACAGAGATCAAGCGAGAAATCAGAATGGTCAGTGAGCTGTGAGCATGACACCTGTGCAGATCATGATT